GAGAGAGAGAGAGAGAGAGAGGATGAAGGAACCTCCGATGAGTCGCGGACCCCGGTCCTACGAGCAGTCCAGACCGCTCAGTCGAGACCGGTACTCCATTCGAGTACCTTCGAAAGTTTGCCGCGCACACATTACGTAACCTCCCATTCACGTTTCTATCACACGTCGCATTTTCCTGCATCTTTCGTCTCTCCTCACGATTCTACACACGTGTCTTCCGACGGACAGAAAGATCCAGCGTGGCGAACAGATCGACTCGCGAGTGTGTGAAACTTAGAAAAAAAGAAAGAGGAGGAACTTGGAGAGAGTGGCAAGTTCGATACAGTAGAATCGGTTGAGTTGACGAAACATCGACCCGTCGGAATTTAAAAGCAACTAAGTGATGATGATGAATACTCACCAACAACATCCCGGCTACGGGTTTCTTTCAGGCATGGATCTGCACTCTGTGCATCACGTGAGTCAGGACGTGAACGGAACGAATCAACCAACGCCCCAAGAGCAACACATCAAAAGACCTATGAACGCGTTTATGGTATGGTCTCGGATTCAGCGAAAAAAGATCGCATTGGACAACCCAAAGATGCACAATTCGGAGATCTCGAAGAGGCTAGGTGCCGAATGGAAGCTTCTCTCCGACTCGGAGAAACGGCCCTTTATCGACGAGGCGAAACGTTTACGTGCCATGCACATGAAGGAGCATCCAGACTATAAGTACCGTCCGAGGAGAAAGCCGAAGGTCCAGGTATCCGTCGTGCCAAACAAAGCTGGCACGATGAATTCAGGTGGATTCCCTAGCTTCCCTCTGCCTCCATACTTCGCCGCACCTACCGCATCGGTTTCTCACCACCACCACCACCCGCATCCTCTCGATTATCCACATCTGCCATCGTACTTCGGATCCGCTTTCGACGCCGTCCACTTAAGCAAACTGGTAGCTGGTAACACTGGAACAGGATCAACGTCGACGAACACTGCTGCGGCTGCGGCTGCGGCGGCAGCGGATGCTGCCAACAACAACGCAGCTTCCGCTGCAGCCGTAGTCAGCAGCTTCTACTCAGGATTCTACTCCTCGCCAACGACAGCAGGTAAGCCATACCCGACAACGGCGTCGCATCTCGGACCACTGTTTCCAACCGGACACCACACCGCAACTGCGACTACTACGCCTCATCCACCTCTGATGTTTCCATCGTCGACGACGACCGGCTCCGCGAGTATCGTTACGACGACCAGTAGTCCTAGCAGCAGTCCAAGATCTACGCCGATTCCATCGTCTCATCAGCAAGTCCCTACGCCGACCACGTCGACCCCTCTAGATCTGGAGCAATTACGTCGACCAGTCTCCGTGATATTTTAGATCTGTATTAGAATTCCGGGTAAACGTTTATTTCAGTTGGTTTGTAGAACGGGTGGAGATTTCCACGGCGCACGAAAACAGTATCAACAAGAGTTGCAACATCGAAAATCAATAACCGCGCAGGTTTTGGTTAGTAATCGTGTATCCCACGGTACTGTGATCATCGTACGCATAGCATATCCTTTCACGCGGGAAAACTGATAAGTAGTAGTTTGTAGTCGAAGGCGCGAGACACATTGAAGAGTTGAAGAGTTGCGTATGCAGGGTCACATCTTTTGTACACAGAAGTCAATTCAACGATCGTAGACTGGACGGTGGAAAGGGAACGTGATTGTCAATTTGAGACTCGAAAGTATTAATGCAGTGGGATTAATGAATCATTTAGGCTCTCCTGGTTCGTTTTGCATTATTGTGCTTCGTAAATTGATAAACGTACGTACAGAATGCTTTGTAAATAGACAATAATGGTACGTTTGCAATAAGAGAATATGATTTGGAAATATTATAGTTTATCTTTTCGTTGTGAAGAAATTGAACTACAATGTTTCCAAATTATGTTCTCGTACACGTACTATTTATCTATCGAAATCAGAAGGGACCTGACTTCGAGATCGAGGATAGAAACGTTTTCAAGAACACACCGGCGTTCTCACTTCTGGCGCGCCGCCTTTCTTCGAGCCTGGCCTTGCGATCCATTATGCTATTTCCCTTTGATTTTAGGTGATTCATTTACCTTGGTTGATACGTAACCAGATTTGTTTATAGTTTACGCGCTATTCCCCGTTCTTACCACTCTTACCGCTCCAACTTCGTTATTATAATTCGTTTTAATATATATCGTTTCTACGAATGTAAATAGTTCATACAATACACAATACACATACATTTCGCGTCGTATAAACGAGCTCTGTTCGCTCATGATTTTTCGAAAAGAGTACTTCGTGCGTATCCGTCAGATCTTAGTCTTGCTCAAACAACTGCCCATTCGCATCGGGCCACGAGGTACATCGAGACTTTGTCACTCAAAGT